ATTTGTACCAAAGATGTGAAACCACGATATGTATGCCATTTTATTTGATTTATGCATAGCTCTTATGGACTAATTAGATTTAAATCTATTGCTTCCGCACTTGTAAGCCCCATATGTATACTCTGTTTGTGTGTGACTTTGTAAGTTGGCCTTCGATAATCTCGGATTACTGGCCATCATGGCACCATTCTACTAGAGGCAGAATGGGGTCGTGACATGTACGTACCAGGCTTTGCAACTGCAGGACCAGAGCGTTGGAGGCCTACTTTTCACAGCATTACGGCAGGAAGAAAATCGACAATCATGTTACTTCATCTACATAATAAAAGAATCATGTGAATTTCCTGACAACTAAGACATCAAAGAGACTCAAAATTAACTATGATTAGCAATAAGATTTACTTTCACAAAAGTTAGAGTTCCATCTTCAATGTCCACTTTTGATACAACAAAGAATAATATATAGACAACAAGAACTGGTTACATAGAAACAAAAGGAATTAAAGATTGATCTGGAATTTTCACTTTTGGTTAAAGCTTTTTTGTTAATGTGTGTGTATGAGAGAAAAAGAGAGACAACACTTTTGATTTTTTTGTTAGCTAACCTATATAATTTTTTTTTTTTTTTTTGTGGTATGATTCTTTTAAAGGGAAAACAAATGTTCATTAAATGAAGAATAATTAAAATTTTCATCAGATTTTCAAACCATTTTTTCACCACTTAAATTGGATAAAATTATCAAAACATAAAGAGTCGGACAGATCTTGTAAATAATAGAGTTAATTATCTAAGAGTTATATTTACAAATATTATAGTGTTATTTTGCCAAATTCTGTTGTTGTTCAACGTATCGTCATCTCATCTATGTAGTTAAATAATTCTAATTATGAGGTGATGGCTGGTCCTATGTGTTTCATATGACCCGAAATTCTCGCTCTCTCTCTCTCTCTCTCTTTCTCTCCTAATGGTTTATTTGAAGCTGACTTGAATATCAAGCTGTTTTTCATAAAAAATATGGTTCCATACACGTAAGCTTAGTTAAGTTCATAAGGAGGCTGTAGAAAATAAAGTGAGAGACAAAAGGTACAGCCAAGAATAGAGCCTAACTTTGTAGCTGCATTTTTTAGATTGTGGTGCCAATCTAATATGTTTTTTCTTAGACCTGTTGGAAAAGGTACAGTTAAGAGAGTCATTGGAATTTGGCTGACTTGAACATCAAGTTGTTTTTCATCCAAACTATAGTTCCATCCTTATATTTTCCTCCTGAGAACATAAACAACTGGGCAGTTGGACAATTTATATTTCATAAACCTATCAAAACATAAACAGCTGAGAGAGAGAGAGAGAGAGAGGCAGAGAAAGGGAACAAATCACATTTAAAAACAATAGCACTAATTGATTCTCAATTCCCAATAATATTTGGGAGTACACATTTAAAAACACAGGCTTTTTCCACAGAATGAACTCTAAAATCAACGAAAATTAGAAGACTTATTTTGTGTTTGAGAATAAATCAAATTAATCTTGTTGTTCCCCGATGATGTCCGTAACATATATTGAAAGCAGGTACGTGTGTTGCAGCCATCAATTCCCAATCATGAGAGGGAGAGAGAGAAAGGGAACCAATCACATTTAAAAACAAATTGCACAAATTGATTCTGAATTCCCCATAATAAGCATATGGTCCATCATTTGCTTGTCAATGTAAATTTCTATCTACACTACACGGTTATTGATTTAAATTAATCTATAGCAGAAGAAGAAAACCAAGAAAGTTGTTGAGATGTACTGGGATTGGGAGCTCACTAATGAGACCCAGCCTATATGGGTAAGAATTCAAATGCTCTTTCTTGTTGTATACTGTGCTTGATTTGTTGTCTTCGGAACCCCGAGGATGTCACTACAGAGGAATATAATGAATTCTACAAGAAGACTTTCAATGAGTACTTGGAGCCTTAAGCATCTTCACACTTCACAACCGAGGTGATGATGGATATTATCTTATACTGCTATTCTATTTAATAAACTTAAACAGACTGTTTTGCATCTAGATAATAAAGTGGCGCATCAATGGCTTAACTCATCTATTCTAAATCTCAACTTGGATATTTGTGAACAAGAAGCCCAAAAAAAATAATGTGATGTTTTATTTACCATAATCACAAGTAGTAGTTTGTTTTAATTAATTGTATTGTCTGTTTTATTGAATATTTTTTAAATAATTCAATTCTCTTGTCCTTAACTTCCATATCCAGTGCTCCCAAAAAAAAACTTCCCTATCCATACATCCACATATTGTGCCGAATTACTATTTCAATTTGTATTCATTTCGGGTAGGGGGCTGAGGTGTGGAAAAAATAATAATAATAAAATAAATCTAGAAAGTCATTTTTGCATTATTTTCTGAAATTTTTAACTATAAATTAGAACTTAGTATATAATCGATTAGATTTTTCAGTTGACATAATATATTATATAGAACATAGAAAAAAGAAGTGAAAAATCATTTTCCAACCTTGCCTTCGAAAAAATAATCAAAATAGAAACAAAACAAGAGGAAACAGCTCTATTTTAAAGTTCACCAGAAATTTTCATTTTGTAAGTCATACTTTGCTGATTTAACTCACATAGGTATAATTTTAAAACAAATGAACTTTATCAAGGAAAAGTACTGAACAATTTGTGTGACCTAATCTAACCAAACTCCAAGGAAAAGGATAAGCTTCATTAAAGGCAGTGATGTCAAGCTCATTTTTGGTATCGACTGTGGAGAAGACAGCATCACCACCAAATCCTATGCAAGACCAAAGGATTTTGAGCTTCCATTTTACAAACGAAGATGCAAATCAGTCAAGAGATTGGATGGCAAGTCTTTGACCAAAATGTTTCAACAAACAAAAAAAGGAAAATCAACCAATGATTGTCAAGATCTTGCAAGGGTAATCACCCTTTACTTGTGCTTGAAACTTCTCATGCCCACAACAGGCCATACACTCAGTTGGAGTTTCCTCAACTATGTTGACAATCTCAACAACATCAAGAAGTACAATTGGGTTGAGGCAATAAAAGACACACTGATGAATTCAATGCCCATTTAGACCCAAAACAAATTTAATACTCCATTAAGTCCTCAAATTAACAATAAGACGAAAATACCCACAATATATCATCCAATTTACACGCGCGCAACCATCTCCCACGTCCCCATCATCTCAGTCCGATCACTACACTGTCACGTCTCCGCCGCTCGAAATCGACTCCTCAGTCCTCAATCTCTCTTCTGTTCAACTCCATCCCCTCTGAAACCCTAACTCTAACCAGAAAACGTAACCGTTCATCTTCATCACCCACAATCATCTCAGTCTGATCAGTACGCTGTTACATCTCCGCCGCTCGAAATCGCATTCTCAATCCTCCATCTCTCCTCCGTTCGACTCCATTCTCTCTGAAACCCTACCCTAACCACAAAACCAAACCGTTCAACTTCAACACAGCACCAAGCCGTTCATATTCTCCAATCGGCGACTCTCAACAACACGAAGAACCATCACCACTCTGAAGAGATTTCATAGTTCCTGACTTCCGATTCACAAAAATGGGGAAAAAAAGTAACATCTCTCTTCACCTATTCATTATTTTTCACATTTGTACATCATTCTTTAATATTTCTTATATACACATTTTACATACTTCCAAATGTATAAACCCTCTTTTAATATATATATAGTCCCCTGTTTTTCAACATTCTAAACACTGTTTTTGCACATAAATCCCTGTTTTTACACATTCAACACCTTATTCTTATTCTTGTTGTTCAATATTGGCTTCTCTTATTCTTATTTTTGAATTTTTAATTTTCTTGTTGTTATTGTTGCTTTTTACAAAATACAATGGGCTGTTCCTATTGTTCATACTGTTTCCTTATAAAAACTGCAACATCATAGTGTTTCATTTCATCACTATACAAGCAACATATCTAAATTTATTCAAAATGCAAATGAAACTGCAAAATTACACAGTTTAACCACTATTCAAAACAAATAGCTAACTTATTATAAAGTGCAAATCAAACTGTCAAATTATACAGTTTCGTAACTGTTACCAACAAAATACATATAACTTTATATTAAACTGCATATAAAACTTCAAAATTATACAGTTTTGTCACTATATTACTCATACCCTGTTGTCACTTTCATTTTTTCAGAAATAGCTGTTGGAAGATATTGGAAGAAACAAACCCGTATGCCCACAAATCCAATCAGGGATTTAACCATCTCCCCTTTTGAAAGTCCATCTCCTGTATCCACTAAAATGCCACCACCATCTCCCCATTCACAAAAAACCAAACCACCACACCCAAAAACAACCAAACCCAACAGACCCCACCAAAAAACCCACAAAACAACCACACCACCTACAAGAAAAAGCCCAAGAACTACACCACAGACCCCATCCGCCCAACAAACACCAACCACACCTCCAACCACAACAAAAACAAACAAAAGAAAGCCAACAAAAAACCAAGAAGCTCCGCCAACCAAAAAAAGAAAGCTCCAAGAAAGCCAATCAACTCCCAAAACAAAAACCAAGGCATCAAAAGAAAAAAAAGCAGCAGTCCCTGCAAAGAGAGTCCAACAATTTAATTATCGTTCCAACATCGGAACGGTAATCAAACTGTTGAAGGGGGTCAAATTCACAAAAGCCCAACAGACAGAGCTGCAAAAAACCCCTTTTTGGCCCCTTATAAATGCTCTCTCCTTAACACAACTGAAGGCCTCTTGGTGCAGATGCTACAATTCCATTGTAGCAGAAATGACAACACTATACAACAAAAGAAAAAGATCATTTGTACTTGGCAAAAAGGAAATGAAACTCAGAAGCAGTGATGTCAAGCTCATTTTTGGTATCGACTGTGGAGAAGAGAGCATCACCACCAAATCCTATGCAAGACCAAAGGATTTTGAGCTTCCATTTTACAAAAGAAGATGCAAATCAGTCAAGAGATTGGATGGCAAGTCTTTGACCAAAATGTTTCAACAAACAAAAAAAGGAAAATCAACCAATGATCGTCAAGATCTTGCAAGGGTAATCACCCTTTACTTGTGCTTGAAACTTCTCATGCCCACAACAGGCCATACACTCAGTTGGAGTTTCCTCAACTATGTTGACAATCTCAACAACATCAAGAAGTACAATTGGGTTAAGGCAATAAAAGACACACTGATGAATTCAATGGCAAATGCAAACAACAACCCAAGGCATGTCACTGGATGCGTCATGTTACTCTTGGTCAACACATTACTCAACTACTTCCCACAAAAATATCAGACATCCACCTATCTCTAACTATCTAACATTTCAACTTTTTTTTTTTATTTTTTTTTTACAGTACTGGTCCTGTGAGCACAGTAAACTCCTCCGACCATCCAACAAAGAAGGCTTCCCAAGGTTTATGAAATGGAACCTTGGCAAAATGTACTCCAAGTGGAAACACATCAGCCTTGCTCACTTTGAAAAGGTATTCAAACTCTTCTATACTATCATAGCACAAATCTATTCAACACTCCTTTCATATTCATTGTAGTACAAATCATATTATGAAACTGTGAAAATTTTCAGTTTCAAAGCACACACTTCTTTAACATCACTCATGTTATGAAACTGTAACATTTTTCAGTTTCAAAAAACATATTTCGACACTTAACCCACATTACTCACAGTACAACTCATCTTATGAAACTGACCAAATTTACAGTATTACTGATATATGCCACATTGTTCCAATGCAGGTTAACCAAAGTGCTTTAACCCCAACTGAACAAGAAATACAGTTATTGCATATCAATCAAAGCACATCAACAAACTCTTCACCAAAGAAACAAGACCACAAAAAGGACAATAAGCAAAAAAAGAAAACAAAAGCAACAAAAAAAAGAAGACTTCTAGACAATGATGAGGATGAATTTCTCGAAGAAGAACATCATTCAGAATCAGAATCACAATCAGAACAAGAACAACAAAAAAAAAGAAAAGAAAGCAAAAACCATAAGAAGAACCAGAAAGTGATGAACAAGAAGAAAAGAGTGATGATGAAAAAAATCAAGTGACTGATGAAGAAAAATCTGATGAAGAAGAAACTGAAGAAGAAGAAGAAACTGAAACTGAAGAAGAAAAAGAAGAAGAAGAAGAACAACAACAACAAGAAGGAAAAGAAGAAGAACCTGATGAACAACAAGACAATGACAAAGCAGAAGAAAGACAACAAACAAAAGGTGATCAACAAGAAGACCTTGATGAAGAAGAAGACCAACAACAAGAACAAGAAGAACAACAAACAAACCAACAAGAAGAAGTCAATGAACAAGAACTGACAAACCAACAAGAAGAACTGCAAGAGAAATCTGACATATTTCATGCACAAGGTAAACTATTGTCTAATACTAAAGCATACTGCAAAATTTCATTAAACTAACCAAAACACAATCCAACATTTTTATAGGTCATGACCAACCACAAACACCAACCAAAGAGGACGACAAGGACAAGCTCATATCAGCCATGAGAGCACAAATTCAAGAAATGCAACAAAAATTCATGGCTGAATTGCGTAAAAAAGAAGATCAATTGAAGGAAATGTCCACAAAAAAAACTGGCAGTCCCCAACAAAGATCCATGGTCAAGAGAATCAAACAAAAATCAAGAAAACAAGCACATGACCCAGATTTTGAAAACCAACCAATGACCAAACCTAAAGAAGATGCAAGAAACAAAACACAAATTGCTGCTGATGTACCCAAACCAACACAGGGTACCGATGAAGAAAAAGAGAAGAAGAATGACAACAAAAAAGAGGGTGCTCATGATGCAAAACAACAGCAGAAAGAAAAGATGCAAGAACATATTGGCCAAGAGAAAGCAGTTGCTGCTGAAACAAACCCAAAAGAGCATGCCAATCAAAAGAAGACAAAACTTCAAGTATTGGAAAGTGATAATGATTTCCAGGAAGAATCAATCCCAAACAAGCCACTCGCCATTTCATGCCGCAAAACAAACAAGGTTTGGCATAGCCTATCCAAAAAAGACCAAGACCAAATTCAACTCATCAACAACACACAATCAACTGCTTGTGTCTGGTCTGGCAGCGAAGATAAAAACTGCGTATACTTTTCAGATATATGCAGATTGACCAACAGGGAACCCTTATATGGGAATGTAGGTCTCCAACTGCACAATTTTACAGTTTCTGTACATATTCAATAACCTATTCCACAAACCTAACACATTCTCATATATAACATGTTTCAGGTCATTGATGCCTTCTCAGAAAAGCAATTGGCACTCCAACCAACCATTGAAGAATTTGAGAAAAACGATCTAGTCTTTGCAAGCAATCCATACGCAGGAAGATCTTACGTTTTCTCAACACTCATCAATGTAAGCAAAACTTAACATACCTTACAACTGCAAAATTTTCTACTTTCTCAACATGTATTACTACATAGTTTTATAACATATTTCAAACATATATATAACTTACAGACTTCACTACAAAACCAAGATCAAGCACTGAGAGAAAAACTGATGGACAGCCATTTTCCAGAAGCAATGAAAAACAGATATATCCATTTCCCAATCAACCACGACAACCATTGGACAATTGTGGTATTTGACAATGCTGATGTAATATGGAGACACTATGACTCTTTGAGACCAGCAAAAGATTGCCACAACAAGCACTTTGAAATTGCAAAGCAAATTGTAAGTTAAAATAAAATTTCATACTTAGTTCCATTTCTTTACAAACATCTCAACTCATCACTATAACTAACAAAAACACCCACTAACTATTTTGTAGCAACAACATCAACTGAGATGGAATAAAGCATTACTCAGCAAACAGGGAAACATGTTTTCATCTCAAGAGTGCGAGACAAAAATTGCATCAATTGAGGAATGCCCACAACAAACCCCACACTCGTAAGATACAAAATCCATAAACTAATCTTCCAATATGCTAATTTTTGCAGTTTCACCTAACTAATTAACTTCATCTCAAACATTGCAGGAATGATTGTGCAATTGCCGTCTGCAATGTTATCAACCAATATCTCAACTGGCAACCTGTGCAGAAAAAACTTCGTCCAACTAAGTGGGTCAAATTTCGAGCACAAATCATCAATCAATTCCTCAATGATGAGAACCGATCCTGGAAACTCGAGCACTACCAAATCTTGACAAAACATACCAAACCATAGAAACAATGAACAAATTTCTTGACAATACAAATATTCAAGGAAACATATCTTTGTACCTTTTTTTTAAATTTTTTTTTTATTTTTCTTTTTAACATATGACAAGTACTTTATATACTTTTGGGAATGATCTTTTTCTGGTTATTATGGTTATCGTGAAAATGATTGATGTTGTTGTTGCTCTTCTTCTTGTTATTATTATTGTGGTTATTCTTCTGATTGTTTGTCTACTTGTTTGTGGTTGCATATATTTTCATACAGTAAAGGCTGTTTCTAATAATTCTTCAAACTGCAAAATTTTGCAGTTTCATCAGCTTGTTTCTAATAATTTTTAAAACTGCAAAATTATGCGGTTTCATCAGGTTGTTTATAATAATTCTTAAAACTGCAAAATTATACAGTTTTCTCACTATGAAATATGTACTGCATTTCTATATTATACTGTTTCAATAAGAAATTTTCAACAATCTTCTCTGCATTCCATAAAAATAAAAAACAAAACCAGACTGTTACAAAACAACTTCAATAAGTAAAGAATACATCAACAAACAAAAAACCATTCAACCAACTTTATTCATTACTTCTATAATACCAAGTATCACATTTTTTATTATCATAATTCCTCAAATTCAAATACAAATCCAAAAGAATAGATTGTGGCCTCAAATAGCAGCCTTGCACGTCTTCTTATTGTGATTCCCATATTTCAAGCACCTCCCACACTTGATTTGCTTCACATTCTCACCCTTAGAAGGTATCCTCTTCTTCTTGTTCTGCCCGGGCTGTTTCTTCGTTATAGGAGGTTTGATAACCGAACTACTGGCACCATCAAAGTCAAATCTCTCACTTGAAGGCACTGGATAAACAGATTCCTTGTATGACTCTCTAAAACAATCTACATGAAAAAAAGGATCAATGAAACCATACACATCTCTACCACTACTACGCAAAGCATGCACAGCATGACAACAAGGAAAACCATTCAATTGCCATTCATGGCAAGAACAAGTCTGTCTACCAATATCAACATAAAAAGAAATAGAAGAATGAACCTCAAGCACAGTATCACTAGCAACAATCACATCCCAAGACTTAGCTAGCTCCAAAGAGTCCACCAACTTCTTTTCCATAACTGGACACAATTTCGTAGTCCATCTTCTAGATTCAGCTCTTCTATCAGACAATTGAGTCATGATTTGAACCCTAATCATATCAACCATACAAGTAATAGGCAACTCACGGGCCCCACCAATCCAATTATTGTAAGACTCGGCAGCATTAGATGACATCTCACCATATCGTTTCCCTCTAAAAAATGCATTGGCCCACTTATCATTTTGCAAACCATCCAACATACTATCAACTCTACCATTCCCAGCAATACGCCTCAATTTCTCCATATAATGTTGGAAAGAAGCAACCGTTGGCGCATAAGCACATTTAACTAATATTTTCATCAAACACAGCTTATAGTTAGTACGAAGTCCCACCAATTTGTCAGTCAAATTTCTCTTCAAATGATTCAAGCAATAAGCATGATGTGCATTGGGGAAAACCACTGAAAGAGCGTCTAGCAATCGATGTTGACGGTCTGACACAAAAGTCAATCTCCAGCCTGAACCAACAGCCTTCAACAACTGACTTAAGAACCACATCCAATTATCTTGATTTTCAGCGTCAACAATCGCAAAAGCCAAAGGAAACAAACCTGCAAACAAAACCACATGAAACTGAAAAAATTAGCAGACTCACAATACAATAACACACTGACAAACTAAACCAATACTAACTGCAAATAAATACATACCTTGATTACCATCCTTTGATGTTGCTACAAGCAAATGCCCCTAGTAACGCCCCTTCAAAAATGTACCATCAACAAACAACAACGGACGACAAAATTGAAAGCCATACAAACATCCATGAAATGCCACAAACAACCTCCAAAAACACCCACTACTTTCATCCACATCTAATTCAAACACACTTCCCGGATTCGTTCTCATAGCCGTCTCAAGGTACCATCGAAGCTGGTCAAAAGAAGTTACAAAATCACCAAACAACCCACCTCTTGCCTTATCAACTCCTAACCATGCAACCCGATAAGAAACATCTATACCATATTGCTTCTTCAACTTTTTTTTAACTTCAATACGACGAGTCAACGGATTATCACTAATATCATTTTGCACAATATCAGACACAAGTCTAGAACCAACCATTTTGCTACAAGATCTACGAGCAACAACCCCACAAGTATGCACATTATCCAACTTCATTATAAAAAAAACACCAGAATCCATCAACACCTTTCCATGCACAAACCATTTACAACCCGTAGACGACTTCATCATACATTCAGCGGTTACTCTTGTTGCATCGTTCTTCAAATAATTCACTGCAAAACCACACTCAACTGCATACTTAGCCAATGCAATGCGGAACCCCGGCACTCTACCTTCAAATTCTTGACCAACACTATGTATAATCCCCTTCCAACTAGCAGACAACAAAACTCTCTCTGGTTCTGGATAAAAACTACGCAACAAACCACCAACATCATCACAATCATTCACAAAAGAACTCTCACAAGTTACAGAATCAATCCTACAAGAATTACCATCATCAACCTCTACAACTCTCTTATCCCCCACAATAACTCAACAACATGACAACCACTACCACTTACCATTGACAACATATTCCCCAAATCATCATCACATTCAACAATACAATTAGAATATCCAGGAACAGAGAAAAACAAACAAAAGTTACCAACACTCAACTCCTTGAACTTCACACATATTTTCTCAACAACTTCATAATAATTACATCCCTCACTAATCTTAATAGTAGCACAACAATTACTGTATTTACACATTAACATGAAACACCCCTCCATACTACAAAATCACAAACCAACAAACAATTGTTCACAGATTCCAAACTGCAAAATTATACAGTTACAACATATCAATACCAACAGTGCACAATTTACAATTCCAAATTGCAAAATTATACACTTACAACATATCAGTATCAAAACACCAGAATTCACAATTCCAAAATACAACTTCAAAACACATTACACTATACGACAAATAAAATCAACAAAATCAAAATCAAACAAACAAAATTCGCCAAACACAAACCACAAATCACGCAAATTTGCTTATCTATATATACATACATATATATCGACAAATACAAACCACATACACACACAGACATATATATGTATATATACATATATATGTATATCTATGTATCGACAGATACATACATACACATACATATATCTATAACCAGAGAGAGAGAAAGAGAGAGACAACGTACGCAGATATCGCCTGTACACAGAGATTCAAATTGCACAACCAGATCCACCTCACAGCACAATGAGATCGACCACACAGCACAATGAGATCGCCACAACAAAGAGAAATCGAGATCGCAGAGACGAAGATTTGATTTCCTTTTTTTAAACGGAGCAAAAATTTAATTTTTCACGTATATATAGATCTCAAAACAAAGGGTAATACAGTCATTTAAAAATACGAAAATAAAAAACGGGACCTCTGGGTATAAAACTTAAAAAACTGTGGACCTATTGATCTATTAAAAATAAATTGGGATTAGAAGGGAAATAGATCCCCTACATAGGACTACATGGTAATTTTCCCTAGATTTAATTGGTTTATAGAACGTGGCTCACGTTCTCCATGTAATGACGAAGAGGACCAAATCATACCGCTAAAACACTTTTGTAAGACAAAAGTGGGCGGTTGATCATCTAAGTACAAAGTTTTCTGTCCATTCCTTTTTTTTTTTTTTTTAAAAAAAAAGTTTTTATTATTTTTTTATGCATCAGAAAACATATAAAAATAAAAAGTACTTTTAACAATGGTACTCCACCTGTTTTTCTCTTTTTAGCATACGTCTATCTTTGCATCACTTCCTTCCTCGTGAAAAAAAGGGGATTACTCTGTTTTGAAGAAGAGTAATGCTAGGGACACCAAATTTTCTACCAAACAAATGACCAAATGTCTCACATAGGTGTGGGGTCCGCAATTTTGTGGACCCCATACCCATGTTGTAACGCCCTCAAAAAATAACCCATTATATATATCATTGACATGCATTAATTAAAGAAGACAATTAATTAATTCATTCATCAGAGTATTACTAAACAAAGCATTA